CCCCCACCACCTCCAACACCTCTCCACCAATAAGTTCGTGCAATGCCGGTAAGTCTTAGTTACTGGTAGATTTAAAAGAGGCCAAGTATTTCGTAAAATGGCCATTTTCGTAAATGTGGCTAATTTTAAACAGGAACTTTTAAATTTCTACGCTTGAATTGCTTTATTCAACCCAATTTTCTTTTGGTACTAAGTTGAAATCGATTTTCTGCATAATTTGAGTAATTCAAGTGCCATTATTATTAATTTATTTAAGGTTTGGTTCTAAAACCTGCCAATAAATAAATAAATTAATGCCAAGTGAAGTGAAAAATAAGAAAACTGCATATTTTGTACTTTGTGAATAAAATATCCTCATTTATTTGTCATTGATTATTATTGAGTGCTTAGATAAAACAAACAATCTTTTGAATCATAAAGTGAAGATAGAGTATTTGTAAGTCAAAGTAACATTCTTGAATGAACTGCCTCTCATTAAAAATTATATCCTCTTTTAATTTTTCTAAATTCTCCGCAGAACCCTCGTTTCTTTGTTATTTTGTTAGCACCAAAGCTAAGTTTCAGAATTGAAATGAATGTCAATTTTCATGAATAGAGGTTAGCCTTCTACTGCATTTCTCTTATTTCTCAATTTACAAATTAGTTTGAGCTTCCTACATGAGAGGAGAAACAAAACAGTTGGAACCGCACAAATCCAAATGCCTTCATGGTGACGCCAGTTCTATTCACACAGGCAGAGAGCTTTTAATTGGCAAAAAAATTAAATTTTTTTGCTTCAATTAAAGTCCAAATTCGTCTGCTTTTATTAGCTCAGTCATTGTCTATCTTTTTTGCTATACTAGATTGATGAAAAAAGGTTTGACCCTTTACCTCCCTTAGGGTTGTATGCTTCTCTTTCAAAATAAGCTCCATTGGCACTAGACTCGTAACAGAAGGCGCTATTACCATTTGAGACATGTTCAATGCGTGTCTATAGCCTTCGCCTGATACACCACCAAAACTCATCACATCGGCGCCATCACTTAGGCCATTGAGTAGAAGAGTTATTCCGTGCATCGTATTTTATTTCTTGAATAGACAGAACCTGATTGGCTACTACTTCCACGCGACCTCGAAATTACATACACACACACACATTTTGACAATGCTTCACCCAAAATTATAATGATAATGATACTGCGGTGAATAGCTATTTAACAACTTTGGCTTTGTTTGCAAGATAATACATACAAGGGTTAAAATGAGCCCACTAGTTTTTGAATCTTTCGAAAATTACTGCAAATCTTGAAACTTCTAGTTGAACCTGAGTTAGCTACTAACCTGTTTATCATATCCAAATGGAATCTCAGTACGCATTCTTTATATCTTGCATTTTTAAAATATAAAAAAAATTAAAACCATTTAAAAGAATTAATAAATGAATAAAACTCATTTCTTGATAGATAGATACATAAATGTTGTTGTTTGTTGTTCTCCGGAAAATGAAAAATTGCAAAATAACCTATCTAGATTTCGAAGGGAGATGAGATTCAGTTGAAATTACTTCCAAGGCCAGATTCTATTTCCAGACACGAGTATAGAGAAGCAAAATCATACGTGGCATTCTATTGGAATGACTTTAATCATTTATCGAATAAAGAGCACATGAACATAATTTTGAATCAGAGAACGAGAGAGAGAGAGAGAGAGGAACTGTAGTATATTTATACTGGCACAAGTTTTTTTTGTTAAAAAATTGAATACTAACTTGGAGATGTATATCATTTTATGATCTGCACTTTCAATAATTTTTGACCCATATTTGAAGTATGTGAAAAAATCACACTAAAATAAGAGCAACAAATTTTAGGAAGACGGTATTTTTTTCGAATGGCTTAGGGTGGGTGGAGGTGGACACCATACTTTGTGAAAACCTTAAATCTTTTTTTTTGTTATGCAAAAAACCAAATAGCTGCAGTTTACGAGAATTCCCGCGTCTTTTAGCCAACTTGAAACACTACTACACACATTTGATTGTTAAGGTAAAAGGTGCTTCATTCAGCAGTCTCAATTTTCACTTAACAGTAATTCATACATACTCCTTAGTATAAGCGTTAATATTAATCGAGAGTAATGAAGTAGGTTCCGGGAACCCCTTCTAAGGGCAACTCAGATTCCACAGTTGTACTCCAGAGATAATCAAACTGATCGGTAGTGAAAATCACTGGTGCACCATACTTCAGCAATTAGATGGATCGTTTCTTACTCCCTTTGTAAGTGCATCTACCTATGATTATGATTTAGGGATTGTGCTCTGTCAGCAGACATAACAGAATTTCAATAAGTAGGTGTCTAGAGATGATCCGCTCGCTTAACAAGTACAGCTTGTTAGCCAATAAACTCAGAAATTGTCGGCATTTTTATTCCACTCTTTTCTGTTCGTCTACTAACAAGATTTAATTTTATTTCTGATAGTTCTATAATGCTTAAGGTTACACTAGATTGATAGTCAAACGAAACGCTGCTGCCAAATTTGGAAACATCATAAATTTATTTCGTTTCGAATTAGACCCTAATGGGAGGTCGCGGGCAAAACTCTTCCAAGTACGTTGAATGATTTCCTGGATTCCTTAGTTATGAAAAAAAAGTTTGAAATTCTTTAAAAATCTTTAACAAATATACAAAAAGACATAATTAAAAGCACCTACTTCTACCCATGATTTAAAGTGCAAGATTGAATTTCAAATCCTCGTAGATTGTATGAATTAGCTTTATTATAAGTCTAAAACAATAAAATATACCCATTGAGTGCTATTCTCCGATTCCGCTTACTAGATCCTTGAATTGCCGCTTTTAAAGCAAGTTGGTGTGTTATTTGGACATTTCAAAGGAAAAGCTATGTTATATATTTAACAATCAATTGTTTATATGTATAAAGGAAGCTATTCACAGGCCCCAAGTACTTCTGGAGTCATCGATGTCTGTTTTTTACTACACGTGGTGATTGTAAACACACTTTAGCATCTAGGGGTTCCGTCCGACCAAGAGCCGTTAATGAAGTTCAAAAGGAGTTGTGTGCTTTTCTGGGTTCATAAGTAGTAAAATATTATGGAAATTTCTCCAGCTTTTCTTCTTGGTATATCATTTTTATATCCTGCATACGAAAATTCATTTCATTTCTGTAATTTTGTTCATAGATGGTACGTAAGTTCCGAGCACCAATGGCTCTTTCCTCTCTGGTAATCTAGCTCACTATTTGACTTCAATCATTTCTCAGCATCACTTCGTTTTTCGCAAACTCTAGAGTGATTTTCTTCGTTATACGACTTCAAGTCATTGCCTCCCAGGATCACCTTTTCAAGAATTTTCTGTAAAGATAGGACAGCATATTGATCTCTTCTTGGATAGTATGATAATTTTGTATAATATTATTTGCATTTTATAATTTTTTGGGAAAAAACGAATTGGCAGTAGGCAAAGTCCTTTTTTAACTCCGCAGTTCCCACCGAGTCCGTTATGTAATTTATGTGCACACTCTGGCCAAGTCGGCAGTTAAAATTTTCATTACTAATGATGTCAACACATCTACACTTCAAGTCTCTCAATACTACAGCCAGTTTTGTTTTTATAAAAGGATCCTTGCTCTTGAAAGTTTGGAGATCAATCGGTTGGCGCCTAACAGCACTCGTAGCTTGCTTGCTTGAAATGGGCTTGAATACTTGAACTTGAAATGCGACGTCACAGAATGGTGTGGGGTGGCTTTTACTTTCCAGAATAATAAACAGTAAAGCCAGTAATTACTCAAGTTGTTTTTGTTAATTTTCCCAATTCTGATTTCAGACCGCTGATTGGTAATAGGTATGAGTTCAGTTTGCTTTCAAAAGACCTGGCGCTTTAAACTTTTGAAATCGGATTTTTTAAAGCTTCGGCTAAACCGTTCGAATACAGAATCAAGCTGTACAATTTTCAATTAGATGTCTTCGTGCATACTATTTAGAAGTATTTTGGTTAATCTTAAAGCAATCGGTCAGCTTGTTTAATTTGTCGATTTTTCAGAGAGACTTACAGCACGTATACAGATTTTTGAGTGACATGTCATTGATTTGCTTTCCATGGCAAAAGTTAATTAGAGTTCGAATACAATAGAAACGGACTACTACATCTGTTATAAAACTCTAAAAAATCTTTGTCCTTTCTTGAAAATGATTAAATTAATTATTTAGCGTCGTAGAATTATGTTCAGTTAACAAATAAAATAAGTAATTCAGCTTTCATTATTTAATTATAACATAAGGGGATTTAGGAATATCCAGATCCCATAAATTAAATTTAAATCGGATTAATCTAATTGTATTACAATTAATTAATCCGATTATACTTAGTTTCATGGAGTTACTCGTATATTTTTACTTGAAGATGAAATAATTTAGTAAATTTGGTCATTCTAAAAGCTTGCTTTTTAAGCCATAAAATTCCACAAAACCATTTAAAATGAAATTTATTTCGTCAAATTTGTCTGTCTCAATATCCGTATTATATATTTGACCACATGGGGTGTGCGATAGACTTATTTCCACGTGGTGCACCTTGGGGCAACGTATACTCATACGGCAAAGAAGTCTATTAACCGGCAGTTGACTTCTCACTTCAAATTACTATGACCCCACTCTATGTCATATTCCACCACTTCCACAGTGCTCACCTCACCTTTTCTCTGCCTTTGTGTCTGTCTGTCTGTCTCTTTTACATCTGTATATCACTCATCTGTTTCCCCTTTCGAATTTTTCTCACTTTGATGTTCCTCCCCTCTGTGAAGGTTCCCCCTCTTGAATTTTTCTCACTTTGATGTTCCTCCCCTCTGTGAAGCCACCAGAAGTCAAATAAAGGGCTAATGATAACCATCAAAACGCTTGCTAAGGGCTAATGATAACTATCAAAACGCCTGCCATCTGAAATTATATTTGACCACATTTCTCAAAACAATAGTTTTTATTTGCTCTCTTTTTACGAAAGAATTTAAATTTTTTGGTCGAACTTGAATAAACCAATCTTTAAAAGTACATTACTTTGGTGAAGTGAATGACAAAAGGTAGAGCAATGCCGTTATAATTGAGGAGAAAATTGTGCTACCAAAATGGAAAAATTAATTAATTTTTTAAATCCTATTTTTCATCATTCGTTTTAAATCGATGGCTCAATTTTAAGAACTTTATGTATTGAGTGGTAAAAAGCAGTAAACTTTTACCTCCAAAGCATCGAAAGAAATAGAAAGAAAAAATTTCTCTCATTTGCTTGTTGCAGACTTTAAATATCCAAAAATTATTTGTTAAATCGAAAATAACTGACTATTCATGGCTTCACTATATTGTTAGTCCTATAACCTTAGTGTCGTAGAACCTTTACTGCCACTAATAAGTATAATATGCTAATATAATAGCAATAGCAATAAAATATGCTAATATAATGAGCAGGTGGAAGATCAGGCCTTGGCGCGTTCTCGATGGCAAGCCGTTCACGAGGCAGCTCGAGTTCTTGGTAAAACATTTGAAGAAGCTTTTATCCATGGCGTTTGCCGACTTCTTGCTGCCATCTACCATTTGGGTTGTGCTGGAGCAATACCTCCACAAACGTCACCTCCCCCTGTGACAGACTTAACACATGCCTCAACTTCACTTACCTCACCACGAATATTCATAAACCGTGACGCCGCAGAACGGGCTGCTAGTCTCCTTGGATGTCCCTCTGTGGAACATCTGGCCAATGAGGTATTCAGTACAACAGGCATCAATGATGCAGACTCCGCTACTTCACAGCCCCCTAGTAATCTGGAACTTCTCGGCGGATTTGTGGCGAACTTATATGCGATCGCCACCAATACATTGAGAGATCTTATAAATAGGTATGCAAGAAAACTGCATTTTGAATTTGATAATGTATATGGTCTAAATAGCACTTTAAATTAATTTGAATTAATTGCCAGACAGAAAATAGCAACCGCCATATTATTATTATTTCAAATGGCAGGCTTTATGATATTTATCATTAGCCCTTAAACTTTGACTTCAGCTTCCCCCAAGGGTGGGGGGGGGTATATATATAGCAGTTAATCAATAGCAGTTCATTAGCTGTCTTCTTGCTTCCCAGTATCTCTGGCTCTCTGTCGTTGTCTTTAGAGCTGGACACCGAATCAGGTGGGTCTTCTCCATTTCCTCCTGTAGGTTATATAGAGGGCATGTGGGTTGAGTGTATTCTCCCAATCTGTGAAGGTGTTTTGCCAAGCAATCGTGTCCGGTACGTAGTCTAAACTCAATTATTGTTAACAAAAATTTTGAATAAGCCTTTTAAAGATCACG